CAACTCCCAGAATTCCCCCGGCAGCATGCTGGCTGGGGAATTCTGGGAGTTGAAGTCCACACATCTTCAAGTCGCCAAGGTTGAGGAACCCTGATCTACCCCCTTTGAGGGGGGAAAGCCCAAGGTCACACTGAGTGAGAAGGTAAATGAGCTTTATTACAAAAATGGTAGTACATGCTATACAAAGTACTGACATTACAGAGAGGAGAAATGAATTGCATCCTCTTTTGGAATTATTAATATTTCCATATTTTAAATTCCAGTACCTAGAATCTTTCAGACAGCTTATATTAAATGGGACTTCAAGGAAGGGTTATCAAGGTGGGCAAGTTTGGAATTTTGAACTGGCAAAGAATTGTGGGTCCACAATAGAGCTGCTAAGGTAGGCTTAGCTAGGCTTAAAACCTTGTTCACGCAAAGAGAGACTCCCTCACCACACCAGGTAATTTTCCTTTTTTCTGAATAGATGAGCCTATTTCTGTACAAAGCATCAGGGCAGAATCATCCACTATTTCTATTTTCTATAGGATCTTTGTGGACTAAGAGTCATTGTTTAAAAAAACCAAGCATCTGCCACTTAAATTTACAGGCAACCCGTTAATAAGTCTTAAAATAAGTCAGGAATACCAGAAACTCTTGAGAGACAAGATTGCCTATGCTTTTGTTCTATATTTATGTATAGTCTGTGGGAAAATAGGCTTGTTTTCAGCATGAGGATGATGCATGTAAAAGAGATGAATAAATTTACAAGATGCATAGCCTTCAATATCCACATTAAAGCATTCATTACTGGCACTATTGTCAAGGCTGATCTTGATGGGGTGCACATATGCCAAGATTCTTTTAATCAACATTTCTCTTCTCATTTGTAGAATCACCTAGCTGTTTCACCACATATGGGATAAGGACATCAGAACTGGCCTTTGAATTTTGCTGAGTAGAGAAAATAATTTCAATGTGTGATACTTAAATAGCAGGAGCTGTGAATAATCCATAGAAAAACCAAGGAAGCGGAGTTTCATTCAATTGGGGTGTCAGAAAGTCAAGAAGGCAGCTATAAGCATGTGGTTGAAGTCTATGTGTGTAAAAGGGGATGGGACTTCAATCTTGTGTTGGCAGCCATCATCTTGATTTTTTTTTACTCTCCCTACAGATGTCTCTGCTTCAGGAGTGGGATTAATCCTATTCCACATCTAATTATGGTGTGCTATGACATAGAAGTTGCAACCTGCATCCCTGTTTAACTATTGTATTTAAGAACAATGTCAATTCAAACTAAAACAACAAAGGTTACGATGAAAATTCCCATCTTAAGTTAACTTTTAGAAACACCAATTAAATGTTCATAATTTTATCAAGCAGCTGGTGATCAGTTCAAACTGATAAAAATATATTATGTTCCCATATACATGGTGATTTTTTTTTTTAAAAAAAGGATATTTAACCTTTTTCTAATACTTTCCTTGGGAGGGATTTTCATACGGGTTTTACAGTGAGCTCTTGGAGAATGTCACAAGCAGCTTAAACTAACTTAATAGTTCTCCTCAGACTTCTCACTCAGTGCTTCAGACTACACTGAACATACATCTGATACAGATGTGCCCCACTAAGCTGAACCCAGCTCACCAGGGGCTCAGTAAACCTGTGCTTGTCTCCTGCCTGGAGCTGCAAAACCATTTGGCAGGCCCACCATGTGTGTTCATGATGAAGACCCATCCCTATGTTTAGATTAAAAGAAAAGCACACTATCAATTCTCCAGATACTTTAGAAAGCCACCATCTGTCCAGAACAAAAATAAAGGGAAAACACAAGGTATTTGCAGAATAAGAGGAAGCCAGGTGACAATTATTTTGAGCCATGGAGTTAAATTAGATGTCTATCAGCTTTGTGCCAAATCAAGGAGAACCTGGCCATACTACAAACTTGCAATGTCTTAGTTTGTATAATGGGATTATTTCATTAAATTGGAGGAGAGGAGAAATAAACATTAAATCCTGTGGTTCACTGTTTTTAGATGCTGGGTAAAACTCTGGTTACACTGAAAACAGAAGTATGACTCTAGCAAAACCAGGAATTCACCCACACTGAAATGAGATATGTGTCTAGAATAGTCCAAGACACACACATATGGCAGCAGAATTAGCAAGGTAGAGAGAATGTACAGACCAGGAACCAAGTATGCAAAAAGCATGTTCAGTTGCAAGCAAACAGTAGTCTTCACAGGAGGGTAAAAACCTCAAGATAGCAGCTGTGACTGTGTGATCAAAGCCCTGCCCACTTTACATGCATGTAGAAAAGGAGTGGGGCTTCAATCTCATGGTCATAGGCACCATCTTGACTATTTTACACCCATTCCCCCAATGCCTCTCCAAGCAAGATAGGGATATTCTGGACTATTACTAATTGTGGTTTCCAGCTACTGGCATAAATAATTTTGCAGACAGTTTGTTTTCAAAACCTTTTGGGATCTCTGACATATATTTCTAGTTTTAAAAAATTGGAGAAAGAAAATAGAATATCTGAAAACAATTTCCTAGGGCTCCATCCTGCTTATTTCCAGTCTTTCTCCCACCTCTCTCTCATACATGCGTATACCAGCACTATTCTTCTTGAGATATATGTAAAAAGCACACTTTTATGGTTATCTATATTTATAGTTACCTATAAAGTACATGGTAATTCAATAAGGCCATTTTCATATAATTCCCACAGTGGAAAAAATGACCAGTTAACAGCATGCACAGTTTAGACTCCAATGATTAAAAAATCAATTGAATAAGTGTTGTGATTTCCCATATTAACATCTGTTCCTAAGCCAAGTCATAAAATCAACCATCTGGGAAGTTCAGACTAAATTCACACTATTCTTGTAAAATAGCGGTTGAGATGTTGTTTACAGTACAACTATTAAACATCAAATCTAAGGCAAAAATATGTCATTTCATTATTTCATATTTTACCTTAATTGCAGTTCCTTATGGTCTCCTAGCACCTTCTAGCATTTCTCAGCCATCATGGAAGTGGGTGTAAAGCCTGTCCCCATTGTTGCTATTTCAGCACAACAATGGCTAGAGATTGCTTGAAGATGCTTTAATTCACAACTGGGTATACTGCCTGTATCACAGCAAACTTTTCCAACGATTCAAATAGCAATCCATCATCCTTACTTATATGTGCAAGTCAAGAGATCAATGAAATTCAGGAGATTAATATTGTACTGCATTGAGGTCATTACCAAACTGAGTTTGTTTCTGCTGGACCTATATGCTCTCAGAGTGACTTGAGAAAGTAGCTCTAACAAGAAATGCTGAGTGCAAAAAACCGACAGCACAAGTGAAGTATTTGTTCAGTTATGAAACAACTTCAATATAATAAATAAATTCATGATCAGTGAAATAAAGTCCAATAACGAAGCACAAACACTGTGAGGTGATTTAGAAATGCATATCCCTTGTTTCATGGTTGCAACACAAAAAGATAATATAAATAAGACACCCAAAATCATACACAACAGATTGAAATGTTGTGCCCCTTCACAACCAATACAACACTTTCACTTAAACATACACCAGCATTAGATGAGAATGGGGTGGTGGAGGGGAGAGGTCATATAACAGTCTCTGGGTATTGCTTCAAATTACAGATGGGAGTTTATGCTCTTGAATGCGGTCTTATACTGTTTTGGTAAGCCATACCTTGTTTATAATGAATAAAATCTGTTAGACCACTAGATGGGAGCAACTAGTTGGTGTTTTGGTGTCTGTGCTGCCATCCCATGGTCATCTGTAATACTGCAACCACAATATGGTAACATATTTATGTTTTAAATATCCCTGGCCAAGAGAAAGCTAGTACAATAGAGAAGAGTTTGGGAAATCGTTTAACATTCCCCAAAATTTTGAAATGAATTTCCAGAAATCTGTTGGATCCATTTGTGAAGTATAGTTTTCCATTTTAATTCCACAATAGCAATTCTGCCCACTCCTAAATATAGTACTTTCCATTATTCCAAAGAAGCAAACCTGTTCTTACACATACAGCATTGCTCTTAAAAAGTCTGTGGTTGTTTTAAACAAGTATAATAGTATATTAGAGCTGTTTAACAAAGACCAAGATCTAGTTTGCAAATTTCATACCCAAATCACTATCCTCCTGTCTTTCCAATCTGCCAAAGAGAGGGAAAGCTATTCCTGGGCTAGAAATCTTAATTTTAGCTCCCGGCAACCCCAGCCAGAGCAAGGACTGTATTTTAGCTCCATCTGGAGAGCTTCATGTGTTCTACCTGTCCATCCCTTTAAAGATGGGTCCTAAAAAACATCCCTGCTATTTGTTCTTTTTCCATGAACGTGAAACGTAACAAGCAGAATGCAGCATACAAAATTGATTTTAAAAATGTATTACCATTTCCCCCTTCTGTCCAGGTTGCCCCTGAAATAAGATAAAAAAAGAAGTGGGTTTAGTATAAACCTTTCAAATG